TGGCTTAAAATGTCACAGTGATGGCAGGCAGAGAAATTTAATCTCTTGATTTTAGTTTCTTGCTCGAAATGCTTGTTGGTGAAGAAAATAAGTCAGAACATAGTCTTTTAAATCTGTTGCTGCTTAAAACTTGTTGGTATCTTCATTACTTACTAATTATCAAAATTAAATCATACTTTCAAGGCTTTCCCCAATATCTTCACATTTATTTTGTCGTGACAGTACGGAATCTTACCAAAGCAGCATTTACTTCTTAGAAAAATGAAATCTAGATTGGAAAAATAAATTGATAATTAAATTCATAATAGCAAAAGCCTCTTGTAGATATGTGGTTATACCAGGCAACATTATTTTTTGTAGAACAACCTGTGTTAGAAGGATCCCGGAAAGTCTGTATGCTGTGGTCTGCAATGAAATCAGATGATCTTGTAGAATTTTTCAGCAAATCTCTATACATCTCTTTCTTTCTGTGCATGTATACACATACATGCATGCACACTGTATACACAGAGAGTTTTGTTATATACAGGAAGAGTTGAAAAGGCAGTTCATTTGATTTTAGCTTATTATTCCATAATCTGAGATCTTTAAGTTCAAGTATAAATTGTATTAAATGTATTACATATTGGTATTTTTCATGGACAAACTATTTTTATGAGGCTGAGGAAATATGCTCATTTAAGTTTGGAATGTATATAATAATGGCTATTCAGATGCACAGCCCTGTTCTCCATCCTTATCAACCACTTTTCTATGACTAGTTGGATTTATTTTTTTGCATATGAAAAGTTGCAGGTCTTCTAGACTTGAATTCAAATTATTTTTCTATACTTTTGCTGTAGGAACCATCTGTCCATAATGAAAGCTATGACTAATAAATTACTTAGTCTTTCTGTTCTGATTCTGTATTTCAGAAAACCTGTTTCTTCCAAAAATTAAAATCTTCTTTCTAAAATATCCCGGTGTTTGCTGCTTTGCAGTGCCTAACCTTTGTATCTTATTCAAATTGTATTTGCTTAGTTCAGCTGGTATCAGTGGGAGGCTTTCAGCTGAGTTTGGATTGGACTTTGCTTTTAGTTGGATTCTAATGCCACAGTGCATGAAACAACCTTGCCATGAGAGCTGTCTCCATCCTGAACACACTTTTAATGTAAGTTATTGTTTAACATAGTAAGGTGTCAGGCTCCAGACCTGGCATCAAGTGAACTAGTGACCTGTGTCAGAATCAGAAAGGCGTAGAAGGTCAGTAAGATTGACCTCCTGTTGAGGTTTCAGTAAGAGCAGGAGGATACTTAAAGATCTTTAAAAGTTTATGCCTAGGTTATCGTTTACTATTGCTTTTTACCAATTTTCTTCTGCCTAATTTCTGTTTATTCACTGCACAGTTCCTTAGTACTAACTGGTTTACTATTCCTCTGTGGCCCTTGAAAAGTAATCTCCAAGTGTAGAGTGAGGTGCATTCCTTAATTTTTATTTCTTTTGATATCTGTATACAGTGTCCCACATATGAATATCAGTAAAACCTGATTTTAAAAGGCAAATAACTCATCTTCATCTGGAAGAGTGGTGAAAGAAAAATAAACATGCATAGATAGACAGTGGCTTTCTTAGTATTGCAAGCACTGTTATTATCCTATTTAATTACCTATCACACTTTTAAGCTGAATGTTTTTGCATAGATGAAATGGAAATTCCAGAATCTTTGTTGTGCAACACCCATCAAATAGGTAGCTTTTCAAAATTTGTCTGCTTCCTTACAGATTGACCTGTAACCTCACTCTAAGAGATGTAATTACAAATTCCAGGGAGATATTACATGGGAATCTTCTTATATTGTCCTTATGTAAGTTGTGAAATTTATTTGTCTCTTCTCGTAACCCTTCCTAAAAAAAAGAAAACCTCATTTATCTATAATGACATTTATTCCTTTCCAATAGCTTCTGCACTTGACAGGATTACTGAAAGTTATTTTATTCCCTAAATCTCCTAATTCTCACAAGCAGCCTTCTACAAATAAATAACATCCATAACATAAGTCATAATTCAGCACAACAGGACCACCTTGTGCTCTTCAGTACCAGCTAAGCTTTGAAGTACTGGTGCCTCAGTCCGTGACAGACCCAGGCCTAACAGGTGAAAGATGACATTTCTCTCGTGATGCAAGAGTATTTTCTTTGTTGAGAGCTGCATGAGTTTGGTTGGGCTGGGGAGTGGGCTGGTTCTGGGGGTGCTGCAGTTTTAGCACACCATGTGTTGTCTGGTATCTGTGCTGATTTTGGAAGTTTATTGCACTACACATTTTAACTACATTATGTGGCTGTTCTCTGAAGTGTAGCTGTGCCAGAACAGCATCTCTTCATCTTTCATTTTGTGTGTCTCTGTGTGCTTGGAATGATATCTGCCAATTTCTAGGAGTGTTTTACTGTTCACAGTAGTTGTGAGTAACCAAATGCTCTTGGGCCCATCTTCAATGGAGCTCTGGTTTTATTTTCTCATTACAGAGATGGCTACGTGCAGTACTCCTTTTAATGTTGGGAACTTGTACAGGGGTCAGCCAGGGAACTAAGGGCAGGGTAAGGCTTGGCTTCCAGGCCAGTCCTCTTTTATAAAAAGTGCCCTCAATTTGTAAAGCAAATACAGCTGTTTGACATCACTCAAACACAAACACGGAATTCCCACTGCACTTTGTATGCTCTTTCAGAAGTGGAAACAGACCCTAAAGGGCACTATTGTAGAGCAGGTTGGATCTGTTTATCTTCTGTGCGAGATTAAACTCAGAGTAAGGGCAGAACCCAGGAAAATAAAGATCCAAATACACAGCTGGAAAACTAAAAAGAGAAGGTAACTTAATACAGTCAAACTGTTTGGAAAACTTAGATTAGTTAGCCATGTTTGGAAAAAAAAAATTAAAAAAAGTCACTTAGTGTGCTTGAAAATGTCACCCTGAAAGAGAAACTAATCATTCTGGAATGGAAACATTGATCTTTCAGTGCTTTCCTGGACCCTGCTGTTGTAGGGGAACTCTGGGTCTGAACTTGTATGAGTGTGAGTCTCTTATCCTATGAAGTGATTGGGCTGCATCAAGATTTTATCAACCAAATACATCCTTCCTGTTCATATACTTGTGACTACAGCAGAGGCACTGGGATCCAGAGGCCTCAAGTTCCAGTGCCACTGTCAGTAACCCATGTGAGGATAAAAGAGAAATTTGCCAGAAATTTGAGACAATACAACTATTAAGACAAACTACTAAAACAAGCTGTGCACAGTGTTCATGTGTGTTGTACCAGAGAGAGAGGAAAAAGGCAACTTTGAAAAGGGTCCGAATCCTTGATGCAAACTCTGGGCACACTACACAGCTGATCATGTGATGCCATGAATTTGTGAAGTAATTTTTGACCAAGAGTGATCAATTCTGGTATAAACAGCCAAATGTTTTTTTGGCAAGAAGATAATTATTTAAGAAGATACACCCAAAAAGCTCAGAAAGCAGCAAAGTTCTGTAACATCACCTTTACCTGTTTCTACTGCTTAACAGCTCTTATTAACAGCTGCTGCCCAAAATGAATCTAGTTTTTTGTGGGGCTTTTATACAAAATTTTACTTCTAACCACATTTTGACTCTATAACTGCAGCTAAGGGACAGACAGCTTCCCTCCAAAGTTTTTGATAGCATAACTGGCCTCCTGATTTTAATTGTGTGAGAATCTGTCCTTCATGGACTGGAAGGAAATAAGTAGATCAAATCTGCTTACTCTAGGGTAATGGTAGGATTTCTTTATTAGACACAGGAAGATTTGAACTACATAATGTTTATTATCTGAGCAATTTAATGTAATCCAGTTTAAAAGTGTATGTTTCTGCTTTGAAAGAGCTGGTATGGAAATAACTGGAACATTCTGAAAGAAAAATGAGTTAGCTTTAGTATTTCCATGACTCTTCAGCTAAAAACAAACCTGATGAAAACTCTCCCTGAGGATCAGTGACAACATATGCCTATCACATGAAATAATGCTTGTATCAAGTACAAATGAGTTCTCCATACTCTGAAGCATACAGGTAGAATTACATCTATTTGAATCACATCTTGGTGATAACTGGCCCTCTGCATGTGTAATCACGGAGGAGTAATTTTATAGAAATCTAACTTGGAATCATGATTTTCTTGTCTCCTTAACCCATATGATGCCCTATCACTGATGGTTTGGAAAGACTGTAGCGTGAAAGTAAGAACTAACCAACTGGAAAACTGACAGCATTTGTAAGAAAAAATTTATTGCATCAGACTCTACTGGGGATACCCTATGTCAGCCTTTGCAGTGGAGATATCAGATCCTAGATTACTGAACTGGAGCCACTTCCCGAACATGGTCTTTTCTGAACATGATCTCTGCTATAATGAATTTTAGAAAGATTCATAGTAAGCCATTGTCACACCACTTGACAACACATCTAGTGCCAGCTATAAAACTGTAGGTGACCTTTAGCAGTTTCCCCAGTTAAACTATCCTGTGTGTACACTTGGTGTGTCACAGTTTATCAGTGCAGATGCAGTATCACTTCTTTACTTGAGTTAGACAAGTGAAATGTTAAGTGAAATATTAATGAAAGTCTGCAGTTGGCAGACTTTCAAGAAACTTGGGACTATACAGTTTTGAGGAAATTTCAACCTGTAGCAAACTCAGACTTGCAGAATTTCTGCTCCTTGTCCCAAGGCCTACAAAAACATTCTGTTAGCCAGGTTATGGGATCACTCATCCTTTGACTGGTAAATTTAATTTGTTTTCAACTATTGGCCTCCCAGAGAAGATGAAATTTTATTTCCACATTTTAAAAGGCTTTGGGTAGATAAGGGCAAAGCTATTATGGTGAAAGTCAACATGAAGGTTAATGCTATTCATCTATCATAAAACTGTTAAATATCAGTCCATCAGTTAAAAGAAACGTTTAACAAGATTCTGTGATATAAAAAAACATTTTGGAAGTGCTTACACAGTTAAGTTAAAAGGCCATGTCCAATTAAAAATAAATAAATAAAATCAAGTCCTTCAAAAAATAATTGATCTTTCTTTACCTCTCCACCAGAGCCACTTTCCTCTTTTATCTATTGAAATTCAAGGGAGTTCTTTTTGGTTGTTTTTTATTCTTTTAACCACAAGCTAGTATGTCCAGGACAAAGAGAAGACTCATTAAAGCCACTGTAATACAAATGACATGAATGTTTCTCCAAAAATACTGTGCTACTAGAATAATTAAATGAACACTGAGGTAGTGCAAACTCAGAAAGTCCTGTAGGATTATTCTCAAAGCTTTTTTCTTGTATGCATGCAAAATTCTGTACTTTTTGTGAGCTTTAGTGACAGTTGGATTCAGTGATCTCAAGAGTCTTCTCTAACCTGAAGGATATTCTCAGATTCTGTGTTTATAGAAGCTTTCTAAATTTGTCAAAAGTTGAAGAGGAAAGAAATAAGCTTTAGGAAGCTTTGTCAAAAGATTTAGAAGTGTATGGTAAAGTGCTCAGCTATTGAATAAAAAGTCACACAGAAGATAAGTATTAAAAACTGCCTTTCAACCAGATTATTAGGAAAAACAAATTTCACAGACTTAGTCTCAATGATGAATTGCATGTTCAAAGAATAGTAGTTTACATTATGTTACATATTTCCATAATTTTTGATTTTTCCTTTGTTCAGTGAAACTTTTTCTTTGTTGAGTTAGGAAGAGCCTCAGTATTGTGATCTTTAGGTTTATTAAGAAAAACCTCTAGCTTAAAGATTCTAAAGGTCAGCTGGTCTTTCATATACATACCAACAGCAGAGAATAACAGTACTGCACACTTCCACAATGGCTACTGTTCATGACAAAATGTCTCCTTAAAAACATGTTAGTACATGAAAAATTGGGGTTTTTATTTGTGCAGATGATGTGTCAATTCCTTCTGGTTAGGACAAAAGCCTGAAAATATGATGGCTTCTAAATGATCTAGAAAATAAAACATTTAAAGAATCCTTCTGTAATTCTAATGGTCTCAGGAATGTTAAGAACGTTGCATTTTGGCAATGCTCTCACTGTTTAGAGACAGCTGTATTTACTGCGCTGGAAGAGCAAAAGCACTCGTAAAAAACAGCAAAAAAACCCAGCACCCAACTGTAAGCAAGGGTACAAAACAAAGCCAGGTTTTGTCCACTGGTTTAAACCACCAAAAGGGCTCTTTAAAATCAGTGATCCAAATTCACCTTTCCTGTCCTGATAGAAACATACAGTAGCTCTTCATTTCAGTATAATTCCTCAGCATTTGCCCTGGCACAAGGATGTCTCCTCTAGCCTGCTCGGGGGGAAGGTGGGGGGCAAAACCCAGGGCACCTCCAACCTCAGTTTCTGTGCTTTGCTGCACAGAAGCTGAGTTTGTCCCCTCCTAATTTGAAAGGACCTGCAGAAGGACATGGGAAGGCCACTGTAAGTCAGACCCATGAGGTTCCTGTAGCTTCAGAAAACCCACCCCACAGTGTGTGACACAACACACCAAGGCTGCAGCCGCCTCCCCCATGGCAGATCACACCCCGGTACCAAGGTAGTACATGTGTGTCTCTGGGAAAAAAATGGCCTTGTCACTCCCAAGGCACACTTCTTCCTTTCCTGTATTTCTGAATTTCCTCACTGAGTACAAGCAAAGGGAGTCCCTTTCATTGCTGTTAATAACAAAAAAGGGCGATTTACCCTCACCAGAAGTACCAAGAAGTGCACTGAACTTCTGGAGTCTTCACAGTATGTTGCACATGTTGCACATGTATGTTGCACACTTGTGGCAAACTTGTATCTAAGAAAAGCTACTTGTTTTTATCTATTTTCTCCCACTTTAAAGGTACAAATTAAGGTTAACTATAGTTATTTTTAACAATAGTTAAAGTTGATAAAGAGGTCTTCTTTTATGCTGTGCAAGTATTCCCTTTAAAGTACAGCCCAACGGAATGTGAGATACTGGAACATTAAACTGCACGTGCTCCATGTTTGTTTTTTTTCTTTAATCCATTTTTGTTCCTCCCTTCCTAACATGTAAAAAATATTTAGAAATAAAGCAGAAAACACACTTCAGTGCTTACTTAAAACAATTTCTTCCTATGCTTTTCATGAATTTCATCACCATTTTACACCTAATCTTTGATAAATGACCACACGAGATGATGATCTCTTCTTTGACCAGATGATACAAAGCTGTCTGGTCTGTCAGGCTGAGTCAAACATTATCCATCCACTTTATCATTCTTAAGTGTAATACTTTCTGCTAATACAGCTGGTTCTTTCTTGTTCAGTACCACAGAAGTAGTAGGAATTTCACCAGCAGCACTGTCCTGTTCACTTGTTTTACTGGATACAGAAGAAGGCGGCTGAGATGGTGTCACAAGAAAAAGTGGAGTTCGTTTCAGCTTCACTACACGGTTGTTTACAGGCTTCTTAGTCCCTGCAACCCTGAATGTCATTTGGCTTGGTGTCCCACTGCCAGCACCCTGCCTTCCACAGGGCACCTGGGGATTGCTGGGCACCGGTGAGCATGTTGTGGATGTGGTTTCAGAAGCTTCTCTGTGCAGTGTCAACCTTTCACTGCTGGGTCGTTTAAGAGTTGCTGCAGAACGTGAAGTACTACAAGCAGCTACCTTTAGTGAAGCTGAATTCTTGACTTTGATGAGGGTACTTGTTGAGGGCCCTGAGAACCTGATCGGCTTGGGACCCACTTTAGATGGCAAACAGTCTTCCTCTTCAGTATAGTCGATTAGTCGTCTGTAATATAAGGAACTTTATTAAATAAATGAACTATATATGTAAGTTATTCTTTTTATAACATTATTACAAACCAGACAATATGTAACAGCCATCCACAAATAGGAAGTTATTTTAACTTTTGCTTGTTACAATATCATTTATGGTTCCCAGCAGTTCATCCTACAATCAGGCTTGCCTTTCTATGAACACAACAACCAATCTCTTCTACCTCTGTAAGATGACATTAAAAACTGTAGCAGTGAAGTGGCTGTAGGGTGGCTCAGGTAACTGTGTAACAGAACCTGCAAAAGGCTGCTTTAAGTTAATGTGTTGAGAATGGAGGTGTAGTCAAAAGTATCACCATTAAACTGCAGAGAAGAAATTCTAGAAATTCCCTCTAAAAAGAAGGCATCTCACATACGTGAAAATCAGTTAACCTTTTAAAGTTTGCAGATAAATTTCTGTTTTAGCAGTCCATTTAACTAACACTGCTCTCTGCTTTTTGAAATTACTCCTTGCCAGGCTGCTGAGACCTCTAAAATAAAGTTAATTTGTTTCTAGCAGGTTCAGTTCTTCAATCAAGCTCTCATGATTATAAGACATTTTATAAAAATGTAAATAAAAAACCAGAAAACTCAACATGCATAGCTATTTAAGGAACCTGAAATTAGAGGCAAAAAAGGATTGCACTGTATTTGTGCTTAATTTAAAGCCATCTGTGTAAATCAGCATACCTTTTATAAACTGGTGGCATATGATGCAAACTGCCTTTCAGAGGGCGTTCTTCAAGAGTCCAACATTCAATCAGCTCCTGGGGCACTCTCCAGTAGCTGACACCTGCATTTAGAAGCAACATTGTATTGATGAGCTCAGAAACACAGCCAGCATCACCTGTGTAGACATCTGGCCAAGGGAATAGGTGTGTTTTACGCAGCAGAATTTCAGCTTCGAAACTGCTGCCACGCACATTGTTTACAGCCAGCGCGCTTCTTCATTCATGTCAGCTCATCCCCTCCTTGGAACATCCCTTCAGACTTCTGCCCCCCACCCCCCCCAAATAGCCACTACTATGGAATATTTTACATTACAAGTCAAAGTTTATGAAGAGTTTTTATGATAGTTAGTTAGCAAATATTTTTCTTATTTTTTCTGTTAAAAAGTAGTACTACTGGAATAAAAAATTAATACTCTACCTCTCCCTTCCCAGGCATCGAAAGCATCCATCATCTTTTTCAGTTCAGCAACTGAGTAATAGCTCCAGATGTACTGGACATTATTTCCAGCTTCTCTAGAAATATTGTTTTAAAGGTAATGGTTATGTGATAAATTTAGCTAAGTCCTTAAAAATGTAACACTGGTGAAATGTATCCTTCTTTTTACCAAATCTTAACTGTAAGGACTTAGCAGTAAATGTTTATAAAGTAGAAAGGAAAATGTTACTTGAATTTCATTTTCATTTGGATGAGAGGTTCTTGTCCTCCTGTGAATACCTATTGCTAAAAATGGATATTTCATGAAAGAACAGATGTTTATAAAATAATAATTACAGAATTAATGGTGTAAAATCTATTCTTCTAGATCTCAATCATTTATTCAAAGGGAAAATACAGTAGGAGGACAGATACCTGATATACTATGTTTCCAAAATACTCTTGGAATAAATATTAATATTTCCAGCCTAAATTTAGGAAAATATGCATCTTAATTATAATGATTATGAAACATCAAAAGCTCTCTCTTAATCAAAAGATACACAATGAAGTGCACTTCTGACACTGTACTGTGGGACCAAGAGAAAGACAATTTGCTTCCAGTCATAAGTACAGGTCTACCAATAACTTCAAAATACTGCCATAAAAATACATTAATAGTATAGTAGAGATGAACATGTTCTTTATAGAATTAAAACCATCCTTAGTTCTTGGTGTTCAGCTGTCTTAGAAGACTGCAAAATACAATTGCATGGATCATAACTAACACTGCAAATATTTCTGGAAGTTTTTCTGGATGGGGATTCATTCACTGTATTTAGTGTAAATATTAGAAAGTAATTTTAAATTGTTGAGACATTTTAAAAATAACAACTCAAACACAATGAGAACTTACAGTAACTACATGCCAACCACCTTGTGTGGACTCTCAAATCCTTGTACTCCGTGCTTAGTTTTTATTTTGTTTGTTTGTTTAATGTTAACATTTGTATTAGCCAGTTGTTTTTGGAGCTGGAAAGAATCTGATTCCTTCCACGGATTTATAATACAATAATGCTATGTTATGGTACATATGACAATATTAGGCATAATTATAATATGTGAGTATTTACTCTCATTTCATAGTGCTTTCATGTGTTTGACAGTCACCTTACCTTTTGTACATGCTTTTACTATGAATTTTCGTTCCTAGCACCTTATTAATTGCATCGGTCCCATCAGCTCTTGTGGCATAGACACCAATAATTGTACTTTCACAGCTTGCTCCAGATGTGTTGAGATAGTGCAGGACCCACACTGTAGGCTTGGTACAAACTAAATCATAAGAATCACAGAAATCTAACAAGGCCTGGAAGAAACATAAAACAAAAAATACAGAATACTGATAAAAATATAATATCTTTAGTTGAATAAACTTTCATATTTAAATTTTCTTAAGTGGACCAGTGAGCTCTTTTATGTAAATCAAGGATGTAGTTTTTCTAGAATCCTGGCTACAGTATTTCTTATCTGATGTTAACAGAGATTGTTGTGAAGCTAAGAGAAGTTTATAGAAAGGCAACAGAAATACTTAAAGGCATGGCACCTCCTTAATATGAAGAGAAACTGAAAGGCCTGGAAATGTTTTATGCTTTTCAAAAGGAAATGAGTAAGGAAGAATGTGAAGTACATGGAACAATAGCTTATTAAGAGAATGTAGATAACTGTCAGGACTAACACAGCCAGACCTGGTAATATAAATTAATTTCCAATCCATTAATTAGAATTAGCTTTTAAGTTTTACTCTAAAATAGACAAACCTTAGGATTTTCAACAGTATAGTAATTTTCCTTTTCTCCTTCCTTGTTCTAAGAAAATGTCAAAGTATATTTTGTCTCTTGAGTTTTAGGGTGCATTTATGAAACTGAAAAAAAAAAATCAAACCTCTTGAAGGGATCAAATCTAATCTCAAGTAAAATTTGAAACCAAATAGGGAACTAAACAATGTCATTCCTACTATGCAAGTTTTACAGCAGACTTGCATGTAAAACAAGAGTCAAATTTAAACTATTGCTGTATTGCAATGATGGGAAAAGCTGATGTCCTTAACTACTCTGACTGCATTATCAAATCCAGGATTTCTTAAGCTAAAATTCTGAATTTACTCATGATTCAGTGTTGTGATTAAGAAGCACTAACTTGCACATACTGTAGTTTTAGTATCTGGTGCTAATGAATGATGCAGATTAGAGAGTACAACTCAAAAAATATAAGAATTGTTAAGACCTTTTTAAGCTCTATATTTGACCTTGAAGAATATGTCTCCATTTCATTGGCCAAATGGTCAGACAGGCTGTATGGATAAGGGATTCCAAAATAATCTGCTTCTTCCTGCAGTGCAATTCGAATTTGTTCATCTCCAGGAATCCGAACTTCTCCGTGAAGATAATCCAAAAGATACTTAAACAGGCCTCCATCTCGATCAATTAGACAAGCTCCTGAAAACATAAATAAAATTATTTAGAATACTGCTTCCAGCAAGTGAAGACAAACTTGTCACTTTCTACCAAATCATCAAGTAAAGCCTTTTGTATAAAACTTCTGTGCTAGTTTTACTTAGGAAGAGTAAGTATACTGTCTCTGTTCTTTTAAAACTATATTTTGTTTCCCTGGAATATTTGTTATTTGACGATAAAATTCTTAGTGCAGAAAACATTTCTTTGGAATGTCAGTGAGATCACTAATCTGCATAGAACAATGTCAACATACCACCTCATCTGTACTGCACTCTGCTTAAGATGTTAAAATCTAATTCTAGACACATTTCTAATTCTAACTGCAGGTACATCTTTACTCACTGTTCCAGGGATCTTTTCAATTTTGGACCTAGACTATTTAAAAGAGTTAAAATAGCATCAGCTCCAGTACATATCTAGTCAAACCTTCCTTGAATATTGGTCAAGTTTTACTGTTTTTTTTCTCTCCTTTGCCTGCCAGGCTCAGGGACCCTGCAGAAACCAACCAATCCATACAGGGCTGTGTACAACAGGCTGTTCACTGTGGCTGTGAAGGATGGTGGCTAAGTCCTGCCCATACAAATGTCAAACATTTCAGATATTTTGAGCAGTCCGAAGTGTACAACAAGGAACTACTATTCTTCAGCCATCGTATCTTTAAACCAGACATACTTTGGCAGGATTTCCAAGTCACAAACAAGTGTGAAATTTGACCCATGAATAGTTTTATTCAAACTTTCATATCAAGCCATGGTGGTGAAAAATGCAATCCTTACTGGGTAATGAAGTGTTCTGAAACAAAGATTAGACCCAAATCTCCTTCTGTAATGAACAGAGATAATGAGATGCCTCTGGAGAATATAGGGGTTCACAAACAGGATCTGAGTTAAATGCCAAATACTCTGCCAACTTCAATTTATTCTATTTTCATATTCATACTGAAGAAGTATATTCTGAAGCCACAGTTTTGACTGGGATAAGGATGTATTTGCCACAGAGCTCCCTGGTCAGAATGTCGTATTTACAGCTTCAATATATTTACCTGATTCATCCACTTTTAGAGGAAAGCGTCCACTAAACATAGAAGCCAGCATTGAGTCCTTAAAGCGGCACAAAGACTCCCGCCTGGCTGTGTATAAACATCCTCGCACATTAAGTCGTAGAACACTCTGGACATCTTCAACCTTGCCCTCTGCCATTGCATTTGCCAATGATGATGTTCATTACGAGCTGTTCAAGCCTGAAACAGATACAAACAGAAGTAAATCTAATGCCAGTTACAGACTGGATATACCGCATACTAGACCTAAGCATTAGGTCAGCTCTTCCATCTTACATGATACCACTTTGAAAACAGTTCTGGAGATGTATCAGTGTAAATAGCGAAATATTCCACACCTTTACTATAAAAAGTGATGGCATTTTACTTTGCTAGGAAACACAAAGGTTACCCTTTTGAGACAAATGAGGAAGCAGATTTACGTGGTCAGAATGTGTGAGCAGAGCACTGGAAGGACATCCTGGGAAATCTCGTTTTGAGTATAGTTCACAGCGCTACAAATGCAATAATTTTGTACTAATAACAACGCGGCTTCTTTAAAATCCGATCTCTAATTAGAGCTGTTTTCACCAGCTGGGCCGCTTGCTCCCTCCCTCCCTTTCGTGGGGCGCTGCTCCGCCATAAAGAGGACGCGCTCGCCGTCCCTGCGGGTTCGGGTCGGGCCGGGTCGGGCGGTTCAGCCCCGTCTGGGCAGGGGTCCCGCCGCCATCCCGCGTTACCTGCGCCGCCGCCTCCCGCGCCAGGGCCGCCTCACGGGCCTCGGCTCCGCAAAATGGCGCCGGGGAGGGCCGTGCTGGGGCCGAGCGGGGAGCGCAGGGGGGCAGCCCGTGTGCCCCTGCGGCGCCATCGCCAGCACCATCTCCGGGCGCACCGCCGGCCGCCCGAGGGTCCCTGCCCGCGGGTACGGCGGGTTCTCCGAGTGCAGGGAGCCCTGGGGCTCGGCTGCCGCTGCCTCCCCGGCGCTGCCCGGAGGAACTCCCTGCGGTACGGCTGTGGTACCTGCGTCCTCCGAGGTGAGGCTGACCTGCGTACAGTCGGCTACTCTGAAAGGCACAAACCCTTCCGAGAACGTGCTTTTTTTGGTTTGTTGTTTTTTTGTTGTTTGTTTGTGGTTTTTTTTTTACAAGTACGTGTTCACTCGGAGTGGGTTTGATTCAGTTGCTGGTTTTATAATCCCAATAATCATAGAATGGCCTGGGTTGGAAGGGACTTTGAAAATCATTTAGTTCCAACCCCTCTAATGTGGGCAGGGACACCTTCCACTAGACCAGGTTGCTCAAAGCCCTGTCCAGCCTGGCCTTGGAAAACCCCCGGGAAGAAGGGGCAACCAAAACCCCCCTGGGCAAACCGGTCCAGTGCCTCACTGCCCTCACAGCAAAGAATTTTCTTCCTAATATCTAATCTAAACCTACTGTCTTTCAGCTTGAACCCATTACCCATTCTCCTGTCACTACATGATCTCGTACACGGTCTTGCCCCATGTTTTCTGTAAGTTCCCTTCAGGTACTGGAAGGCTGCAATTAGGTCACCTTGAAGCCTTCTCCTTTCCAGGCTGAACAATCCCAGTTCTCTCAGCCTTTCCTCATAGGAGAGGTGCTCCATCCCTCTAATCAACTTGGTGGTCCTCCTCTGGACTCACTCCAGCAGATCGATGTCCTTCTTGTGCTGGGGACCCCAGAGCTGGATGCAGCACTCCAGGTGGGATCTCACCAGAGGAGAGCAGAGGGGCAGAATCCCCTCCCTTGCCCTGCTGGCCACACTGCTTTAATGCCGCCCAGGACATGGTCGGCTTTCTGGGCTGCCAGAGCACATTGCTAAGTCATGTCCAGCTTCTCATCCACCAGCACACCCAGGTCCTTCTTGGCAGGGCTGCTCTCGATCTGAGAGCAATTGAGCTGTCTCCTACCCCCTACGCTCCCATTTTATTTCACAGTGTGATGGAGTCCCTCTGGCCAGCCCAGACCAGGGCAGTGGCTTCGGACCAAGCTGGAGCCCAGTTTCTTCTGCAGCTGCACATCCCAAGTTGCAGCACCAAGACAAGCGATTTCACCAGGGTGATGTGCTGCTGGTATGTGCTCCTAGTCTGAAGATGGAAAGGTCTGCTTTTATTAAAGCAGGGGGGAAAGGCAGGAAACGGTAGCCTCAGGTCAACTGGTGTTTTCTGCCCTGCTTTGACATGACTCCCTGAACAGACCAGCTCACTCACCTGTGTGGCAGCAGCAGTCTGTTCAGTTCTACCTATTATATATGAATGCAGCCGTCAGAACTTTTAATTTTGCTTTGCTCTTGCTTACATGTAAAATATGTTTTTTCTCTGGTTTGTTTTTTGGTTGGTTTTGGTTTTTTGGGGGTTTGTTTGATTGGTTGGGTTTTTTTGCTTCAGATTTATATGCATTTTTCAGAGGGAACCACTTATGCACTAAAATAGCACAGATGAATGCTATTTCACTGCCATGTCTCAAGTGAAAGGACAAGAGAAAATGGCCTTAAGTTGAGGGAGAGGAGGTTCAGATTAGATATTAGAAAAACAAAATTTCACTGAAAGAGTGGTTAGGCATTGGAATAAGTAGCCCAGGTAGGTGGTGCAGTCACCACCTTTGGAAGTGTTCAAGAGGTGTCTGGATGTGGCACTTGGGGATAAAGTTTAGGGGTGATTATGGTGGTGTTATGTTGATGGTAGGTGATCTTGAAAGTTTCTTCTAACCTTGATGTTTCTGTGATTTTATGATTCTGTGATGTAGGCAAGGTGCCTCACTCTCATACAGTCATTTCACAAAGACTTTCAAAGAGTGTCCCACTGAATTGCTTATATCTGAGATAGAGTTGCGTGGTCATCAAAATGTGTTCATAAACAACAGAAAGGTAAAGAAAATAGATTCTTGTTATGCTTTTGTGTCAACCTTATTATGCAGATTTCCATACATGAAAAGTAGTTCGTGTGTCATGCATCATAAGATGCAGCTGTATTTAAAAAAAAAAGTTTACTATGTTATGTCTAGTTCCCACTTAATTCTCCTTTACTTGCTTACAAAGTTTCTTTTTGCCATAACATACAGTAAGAACTTATCACTGTGGATACAACTGCCAAGTAATTAGTAGTTGTGTGCAACAGTTAACAGGGTGAAACTTTGGTTTTCTGCAGACTTTCTGGAAGATATAAGCTGATTATATGCTTAGAATATATAATATAAAATATTTATATATATAATATATAATATTTCTTAGATAATAAGATATAACTGAATCCCAAATATTAACAATATATTTTAATTGCTACCTGAAGTCCAATAAAAATTCACTTACTTAAGTGTACACAGCGCATATAAGAAATGTGCCTTTACTGTATTTAAATAGTTTACTCAGTTATATCTGCAATTCCTATTGATTTTTGTCTTGTATCATCCTAGTTTTTAAGTCATAATTTCCTTTTGGAGATATTTTGTTGCCTATTTAAGGTATTTAGAACTTCAGCCATGGGTTCACTTGCTAAGAGGTGAAATCAAAGGATGTGTAACACAGAGCTATAGTTCCAACTCTGTTGCTTGCTATGTTCTGGTCTGTTACTGTTACATTTTGATTTTTGAGAATACCTAGATATTCATAGGCTGCTCTGTTTTCAGATAATATGTGAGTCCATAAACTTGTAATTCAGAATTCCCTTCAGTCAAATGAAGAACATTAAAGGAAAGAGCCATATAAACCATATTGCATCTGCTCCTCGTAGGGAGAGAATAAATTCTCTTTGAAACTGTGTAACTCTGACTGATCACTTCTACTTAAAACTCACTTCTCTTTATCTTAATGCCAGTTTACATTAGAATGGCAGTTAAAGCCACACTAAACACCTCACATCTAATTTTTCTTAGCAACTAAACATGCTACTGTTGCAGCAAAGAGATAAAATGGCATGCCAAGCACCATGGCTCTCATGTGCTCCTTGAACAGTCCTTGGCCAAGAATGTACCCAGAAGCCAAGTCTTTGATGCTTAATATCTAATTAATTAAATAAGCGCACAATTTACAACATGCTACTGAATGCAATACAGACTGATAATCCATGGGTGTTGAACTTACTATAAAACAAGTGAAAACAAGTATAATAGATTATTTTTGTAGAGTAATGGTATCTAGTTTAACTGTGTCTTTAGTAAGGATAATAATGTGTGTTTTCCCTTACTCACTGGGAATAGTTCATACATACCAGTTGCTACTTAAACATGGCCATTTTTATCAAACGTTGCAACGTAGTTTAAGTGTAACTTCCAGTCTTTCTCACTCTGAAACATTCACTTAATGAAACTGGAGCTTTTCATGCTTCTTTCCGCCTTGAAGCTGGCTTGGTTTTGCCTCAGAAGTCTGAAAAAATGTTCCTTCATGTATTTCTGCACTGTGAGACCAGAACAATGTACACGGTTTCACTCAATACATGTACATATACTCAATGCAATAGGTTTTGGACCTCAGATTTAACCATGTGAACTATCATGACTATTCAAGCTTAGTACAGCACGTACTTGGCATAGAAGCTTGAAGCAAAACCAACCCACACAAGCAAACTGCCTTTTGAGCTGCACCTTTTGGGAAATGAACACGGGCGTTTTTGTTTTGGTTTTCACTAGTTTCCCAAGGAAGCCGGGCTTACACACTCATCCTCTGTATATTTGTGTTTCAATTTACTAATTGCAGTCAAATTCGACAGAGAGCAAGAGGCATTAAGAAATGGATTTTTCATTAAGCTTGTGCAAAAAAGGTGTGATTAGAGAAAGATAAGTTCTTAATCCTATCATTTCAGGAAAAGGTACAGCATGAGCTCAGGTCTTGTTGGACATCAGAGAATCCACAGAGAGAGAAGTCGTTCTACATAATCTACCCACCAGAAGTGCTTTAGTCATAGCTCACACTTTACTACACCCTACAGGATTAATTCCTCAATGAAGATTCTTCTCAGACATGAATATGCAGGTATCTAGTAAGGTACAAATTCAAATCCCATATGATTAGAGCTTTTCCAACAGGTCTGTGTGTCTTTCCCTCACTCCTTTTCATTTCTATTCAGTTTAAAGACCAGTCATAGGATCCCTGATGGATGACTGAAACACAAAATTCTGCTCTTAATACACATTTAAGATATATAGACTGTGAAACTTGGCCGTGGTTTAAGTTCTTCCCAACTTTGAGCAGCTGGCAATTAACTGGAGATTTTTACATGTGAAGGGGCATAGTGTAGTAGTTCCTCAGTGGATAAAGGAAAGTATGACCATGGGTGGAAATGCAATGCTTCACATTTTGTTTTAAATTTATTGCCCGCAGTAGCGACATAAACACTAAATGGAAGCAAATTGGCAATTGCCCCTTCAGGACTTGAGACCATTGTGGAACTGGAGGATATGCAAACTTGTTATTGGATCTGGAAGAAAACCCTGCCTTCTGGAAAGGATAAGGAGGTAAGCTGTATTTGATTGGTTTTCTATTTTTAAAGTTACATAAGGTTATTTGCTCTTTTATTTGGCCAGAGTTTTACAGTGGCTACAGTCACTTCCAAGTTTCCTTGTAAGGGAAAATGTACCAAAGGTATATAATGTGTGCTGGATCAAATCTGTATTTTAAGGGTTTTTCCTAGAAGCATAGGGTTTTGCAGCTACAGGGCCACACTGAGAAACTGTGCCATATATCATAAACAAAAAAAAAAGGTAGAAAAGAGAGACTCTCCAGATGCTCTTTGCAGCAGATTATGAAGGTAATAAGTTCATAAAGATCCATTTTCACATAATGCTACTGATACTTCATGTGCAATTCCTTGGACTTACTTTATAGCATATTGTAATGTTAGCACATGGAAAGGTAGGGTTTTTATGATGATTACTCGACTACAGAACCTGATGCTGTTTTTTATTTCAACCTTCTGCATTTCTGTAAATCTTCAATTAAAACACTAACTCTGTTTACTCCAAATTCCCTGATTCCTGGATCAACTGTAGGAATTAATGTCCACATGAATGATAGGACTGGGCACATAGAGCCAGTGAAAGAGAATGTATGTGAAGAGAGTGTTCAAGAGCAAGGGCTTTTGGGCTCAGAAGAGATTTTGGGGGAAAGCATTTAATTAGACGAAAGTACTTCCTTGCAATTCACAGTTCTGGTATTACCTGAACCAAATTAAAAGTGGGCTTACTCAAATTCTGTTGTCAGACTCTTGCCCTTGCAAGTATGTATGTGTGCAGGCAGCATGCATTGGGTTTTAAATTAATCATTTCTGTCTTCATGACTGTCTTGATGCCTGTCTATTCAGTTTGTCATTCCATCTACTACTAATAGCTCAAAATCAGCTAGAAGAAATTTAACTTTCCATTGAGAAGGAATTACATGGATTTCTCCTTTTAACCTAAATGAAGTCTTTGAACTGAAAGCCAAACATATCAAACTCTTCCTAAAAATCTCTGACAGCCAGGTGGAATACCTGTAGTTCCCTGCTTCCTTCCTCACAGTGTACTGAGACTGATGCTAAGTGTTTATAGAATTAATATTTTTTTTTCAATTTTAGCTTTATTAATGGTTAGTATTTAAAATGGTTTTGCAAACGCACATTGTTGTGAAGTCACAGACACCCCACTCCTTTTTAAATCACCCAGAGATGCATGAAAGAACTGGAACTGTGGATTAAAGGTTGATGACTTCTGCATCTCCTTCTTCTGGAGTGTCGTGGACTGTTGGTTGGAGCACGGTTCAAATAACGTCAAGGTCACAGGTTTGATCCCCACGTGGGCTATTCATTAAGAGCTGGACTTGATGATCCCCGTGGGTCCCTTCCAACTCAAAATATTCTGTAAATCTGTAAGTACAAGAACATGTGAACTATTTTAACGCAGGTAATTCTGCATGTATGTAACAAAACCGCTACAGTGCCTTTCCTGTTTTATCAACCAAGCATCAAAAAAGATGGATGTTGGCCGTGGCATAAACCAGGCTGTCGACGCGGGAGGGGTTTATATCCAGCTGTTCCGGCCTGGTCGTGCATCTTCCCTTTGAATCACGCAGCACACCTCGGGTGTTGGCGGCTCCCTGGGCAGGTTGTCCCGAACGCCCCGTCAGGCCCCACGCTGGACCCGCAGCGCCCGCCCCGCGCGCCGTCGCACGTGCCGGGCCCAACGGCCCCCCCTCTCGCGGCCGCCGGCGCGCGGGCAGCCGTTTGGCCGCGAGGGGGCCGTGAGGGCGCTGAGGGGGCCGTGAGGGCGGCTAGAACCTAATCGGAGCGCTGGGCTGGGACACCGCCCCCTGTCCTACGTCTGCTTGCCGGCCGTTTTTTCTCTCTCTCTGCTTAAATTTACAGCATTTATAATCCGGTTTATTTAATTGTGTCAGTTTAAACTCTTGTCCTGACAAAGCACAAGGTATTCTGGTCGTGTTGTGAAGTAATAGAACCTTAGGGGTTTTATCTTTTAAATGCGAACTTAGATAGTTAACTTGAGGGAATGGACAAGCTAAAAAAAAGTGGGATCATTTTAGGTTAAAATATTTCTCCTCTGTGTCAATGTTTCAATGTGTTGATTTATTCATTAACCTGTTTTAATTATTTGAACAAAGGTAAAGACTGAAGCAATTTTTTCGATTTCAGACCTTATATCCTTGTAAGAGATAATGAAACCTAATTTTAAGAAGTGTAAGAAAGATAACTTATTTATTTATTTGGACATTCCCCTTGACAATGTACAGGTTCATTTTGATGATGGATAAAGAAGCAACTGCTAAATCACCATCTGCCATGTTCACCTTGAATGCTATTAAAGGGCGTAGGAAAAAGAGGGATGGAACATTACAAGCTGCAAAATTGAATGCTTCTTTAGCTTCTAAAATCAAAACTAAGTTGATGAGTAAGTACTGTTAAAATAAAACTGAAGCCATCTACTGTACTTAGAATGTATGGCTTTAAAAGGAATAGTAGTTGTATTTGACATGATTTGCTGAAGTGCTGCCTGTTAAAAATACTAACTTATGTTGAGAATTTTAGGAGTCTGAAAGCTAAAATGTGATTGTAAGTTATTTATTTATATAGTTCTCAGAGTGTTTTGGGTCCATGCTTCTTGGTGTCCTAGTGTTTTTGTAAAGAGTATAATCAAGTGCATTTATAACACCCATGTCCACAGCCATGCTGGGGGCATCTGAAAATGGAGGAATCAAAATGAGTAAAATCAATGTACTTTTAATATATAGTTACCATGGTAAAACACCTAGTATTCCAATCTGCAAAAATTATTCATTGAATAATTTTATATAACTTACTGAATCCAAGAAAACTGGAAATATTAATCTGCTGATTTAATCACTTGTCACTTAATCACTGGGAAACTTTGTTTTCCCAGTTAGTCAACATTACATTCAAACACAGGTCTGCCGTGGTAAATGGTTGGGGTTTGTTTCTGGCTCAGACAAAAATACCACTATGGAACATCTCAGAAACTTTTCTGCAAAAGATTGGGACACTATAAATGTAGTGAAACACTGTTATTTGAGAGCTCTGTTTCGAGCAGCACGTTCAGTGAATGTTGACTTCTGCTTCTCTTTCTGTGAGTGGTGCAGGAAGATTTTTTTTGTTGTTTCTATATATATTTATATATTTTTGTTCTTTTTGTATATATATTTTAACTTACTGTGGCTTTATGTAAAAATACTAATTTTCAGTGAAAAATAAACCATATAGATGAATAATGCTAGTGTCCTTTAGAAATCTCCACACTGCAGTAACACAAATAATTCATAATTCAGTAAGATTAATAGTAATTTCAAAGCCTAATGTTTGGAATAACAAGCTTCCACTGTTATTGTCTGTTTCCCAAGGCAAAGAAATAAGGCCTTGCAAATTTTGGATAACAGATCACAGAACTAATAACATAAGACAATGAAGAGCTGTAGTAGGAGCAGTTTTCAAACTAACCTCACTCCTTTTTGTGCTCTTTTAGAGTATTGTCAGACTTTTCTCTGCTTTGAGTTCAGGTTAACTATGTGCCTACTGTGAATGTGAGGGAAAAGCTCCCGACATTTTGGTAATATGCAGTGCCATTGGAAAAAAAAGTTCTTAAACATTCTGTAACAGATGTGTGTAGGTAGGTTTTCATTAGGATAGGGGAAGGTATATTTTGAATTTAAAGCTTTTTATACTGTCGAAACTCACATTCATTATCAGAATGTTTCAATACTTCAATTTGTAAAATGTGTATTTTTTTTTAGAAATTTTTAAACATTTTTATGCCCATGAAACTATCAATTTTTAAATGCTTTCTTCTTAACCTTAGCAGAACCTGTGCATGAAATAAGCTTGAACATGAAACAGGCAGAGTAGTCATCAGACTGACAGCCACAGAAACAGTTTTGCCCTGGAAAGTGTCCGGCTTTGCTGTTGTTGCATCAAAACCTGCAGATAAAAATTTGTTGCATAGTGATAGTTCACACAGAGAGGGCCTGGAATTGAAGCTGGTGAAAATAACACCATTTTTGTCTCCTTTAGATAACTCATCTATGTTGAAAGTATCTTTACAACAAAATAACAGAGCATTAGCCGTGGCTTTAAGTGTTGAGAAAGAAAATTCTCGCAGGCTAAAGAATGAGAGGATTTGTCTTCAGAAGGAAGTAGAAAAACTGCAGCTTCATAATATCTTGCTTCGTCAAAAACTAAACGGTTTGGTATGCTGCAAATAATATAATTTAAACTTAGATCAGATAAACCAACCTTTTATCTTTTTTGGAAACTTAATGTTACTTCTTAAAATGGTGATTTAAAATATATATCTCACATTTCTGAAGTTGTATAATCTGAAGCGTAGTATTTAAGTTTGATTTTTCTTTCATAGGTTTTATTGTTCTTACTATTTTGTCTATCAGTGTGTATGTTTATCCATAGCCACTTTAGTGTCAGCTTCACCTTTATATTTATAGGCGTTAAGACGGTATTAAAATCAATTTCTGCTGAATTAAGTCTAAAAAAAAATTATAGCATAGATTCACCTTTTGTCTCTTCTTAAGACAGAAGCCGCTTAAAATATATTTTTAAATTACTTTTTCTTTTACATTCAGAATAAAACTCTTATTGGAATAGAAGCATTTTTGAATGATCACCTTTTAACTGCAATAGAAATAAGCAGTCCTTCTGAGGTAAGATGTTTTTTGAATTATTACCATATTGAACTCATTTCATATGATAAGATTTTCAAAGCATCAGATTGAGTGCAATGTTGAAATATATATGTGTTGTAAAACATTTATCCCAGTTCTTGGGATGAAACACTGGTCTAGTGAAATAAATTAAATTTTGCTGCACTGAAAGTTTAGGATTTAGTCTGGTTTACAAAGTATCTAAAAGTTAAGTATCAGTTAGCTCAAACTTAGTACTTCAGTATATGGTGAGCAAGCTACCTGCCTTCCTTGCTTAGTGCTGCAATAGATATCCTACATGTGGAAACTTAACCAGAAAACATAGTCCATGTTAGTCCTTGTCTCATGGAAAAATTACAATTAATTTTAAAAAAAGGAAAATACTGCGTTTTCTGTTCTAAACTGTTGTTTAGTGTTGCTCTGTGCTTCTATATGTATAATGCAGTTTGTACTGAAAAAGTCTGTACATTGCTTTGGGATGCAAGTAGGTTTTGAATTTTGATGAACTTTGTTACAAAGTATTTTCCTTTAAAATTATTGCCTGTGTTGAATATCATGTGCCTTCCATCAGTGCTTCTATTTTTTTCCCCATTCGTTTTTGGTTTTTTTTCCCCTTTGAGTATTTCCAATACTTAAAACATAAGAGAATATTCAACTATTTGTACTTCCCCACTGTTATTCTTTTGAAAGAATCTGCAGAGTTCCTTTCCTCTGTCAGCTGATCCAAGTAGCCCTACTGATGACCAGTTCAAGAGTGCACGTCAGTCAGCGAGGTAGGAGGTTATATTATTGGTTAAGTATCTGTGGATTTTTTTTTTTACAGCTAATCTGTATATTGTCCTAGGTATTTTTGAGGTAATGAGAAACAATTTCCTGTCTAATTCAGACATTATCTATTTACAACTTGGAGTTTAGGGAGAGAGTGGTAGACAAAACCTGTATTTGAATAATTTGCTGCTTGCTTCATGTGATCTCACTAGCACAAAGCAGAATTCTTTATCATCAAAAATACATTTGCCCAAAGATAGAGCCAGGTTTCATACTCGAGTTCTCGTTTTCTACTTTTATACATTATTAAGGAAACATTTTAACAATAGAATGTTATGTTAGAAAATGTAATAAAAATCTTCACAGTAAAATTTCCTCTTTTCAGATCAGCTAATGCAAAACAGCAAGGTAACCCTTCTCTGGGTGAAATACCAAATCCCTACAAGTGTACCACTAATTTGTCAGAGGAAGTGCATTCAGATCAACTCAAGTTTGCATCATCATTGTCTCCTGGTACAAATAATCAAAAGTTAATTGAAACAAATCCAATGGAAGCAGCTGTTGACAAGAATAAATTTTTTAAAGGTATGATGTATTTCTGTACAGGTGATTTATTTTTCAGAGCTCTCTGAGAATTAATATTTAATAATTCACTACTTGATGTGCAATACAGAAGGTATAGTAAGATTCCTGAACTGTAATAAACTAATGAAAAATAGAATGCTCACCCATAAATATATGTGTCCTGACAATCACTTGTGGAATAGTGTTCATTGAAATGACACAACTGAAATGTAACAAAATCAATGTGAACAGAATAAAACCTTTGTAAGATAACCAAATAATAACTGAAGTAGTTATAGAAAAGTGTATTTCCATTTATGTCCAATTTCAAAAGTGTAACTTTGGTAAAATACGAAATTAGCTCTAGTTAACTAAATTTTTGAGGACCAACCACAGAATATGTGTATTTAGTTAAAAAAAAATAAAATTTTTATTTTTTCCTACTTGTGGTTCAACCTTCAGTAATTTTATAGAGAGTAATTTTTATAGAGCTACACTCTATTCTTTCTTTATTTCTAACTAAGCTGCTGAATTTTTTCTTTTTGCAGAAAATCAACTCTGCACAGAATTAAGTTGCAACAGTGCCCTTGTGGCTCCTGTCAAAAATGCCCGACCCTTAGGACAGTCTGAGGAGCTTACAAAACAGCATCGTGGTAGTTCATTGCCATCCTGTGGAAATGTGACAGAAAGAAAGAAACATGCAGTACTTTATAAGTCAAAAACTCAACCTAATATAAAGGATTTTGATAAAAAATGTGGGTCATTGAATCTACCTAAACATGGTATCAACAGTGGCAGCAACCCCAATGATACAAATTTGCAGGAAGGTTCAAATGACTTGTGTCACATGATTCCCTCACCTCTTAAATATAGCAATGAAAGTAAGACAGATTTTAAGAAGCTGCTGAAGCCTGAAGAAACACTTTATGATGCTGATATGGAGTTGACTGCCAGTGATGCTGGTGAACTACTCACAGTTACAGCCAAAGACAATTATAAATTGCACCAAAATAAAATTAGTAATGCCAATTCTGACAAAATATTAGCAAAGTTCAGAAAGGTAAAGTATTCTAAGAAGGATAAAGAAAAAATCAAAAACAAGACTGAAGTTGATTCAAATTTATGTGCAGAAGAAAGGCACGCTGGGGCTGACAACAGTGAAAGCTCAAAAACTACTGACTCAGAAATTCAACTATTCCAAAGTCAGACAGAACAGCTAACTACAGGAGATTCTGCAGAGAAACAGAGTAAAGCAAGTAAAGCTAAAGATAGGAGGAGGATATACCAGGGTAACGTAGTGAGTCCAAGAAAACAGGAGACAAATGAAGAAACTTTCTCAGAAATGTCTGGAGACACGGAAAGCAAAATTCAAAAGGCAAACTCAAGCTCACCTCTTAACAAGATCCCACCAGAAGTTTATTGTACTGAAAATTTGCCATTCCAAGATAATACTTCTAAGGTGTTTCCTTTACAGGGTGACTTTCTAAATACAAATGAGAAAGATAGCAGACCAACAAAAAATAGGAAAACTTTTCAAAACCCTTCCAAAGCAAACACAGCAAAATCCTCTGGAGGGGAAAATGGCCAGGATGAAGAATATTTTTCAAAAAAATCTCAAACAGAGATATACCAACTTGACAGCAAGACAAAACAAACCCATAAAAATATTATAAAGAGAAAAGACAATAAAAAAAGTAGTTACAGACAAAGTAGAGAAACTGCAAATGACAGCATTCATAAAATTAGTCAGAAAGTAGACCAAAAGAGCAGCCCTTGTTCAGCAGGCAGATTCAAACGTACATTGGCAAAGGCTGGCCGGAAAACATACATAATACCAAAGGGAAACCTTACACTGTTCTCAGCTTGTAAAAATCAAGAATTAAAAAATAAGGATTCATTGCATGCAGAGGCTGGAAATAAAGTAACAGAAACTCAGCAAACACAAGTAGCTTTAGTTACTCAGGATGGTGTAGCTCTGAATACACCACAAGCTAAAGAACAAGTTGATGATGATGCTAACATGTTAAAGAAGGCAGATTTCTCAGCAGTGGCAACTAAACCCCTCCCCATTAGTAATTCTTCTGGTAATCAGGTAAAGCAGAAACAGAGATTTAGTTCTGATAATACTGAGACCAGACAAGAAAAAAGTTATTTCAGGCCTATTGATCTGGGCAGGCAGAATATTTTGGATGATCAGGGAGTCCCTCATGAAATAGGTTCCTTTATGAGTAAATTAAAGCCTATTATTCAAGTTGAATGTTCTAAGAATATGTCATTAAATGTAGATAGCTTTTCCCAGGAAGGTCTTTCCAATGTGCGGCTCCCAGCTCTTGATAACCAAAATGCTTCTGTCAACTTCTCCATACTGAAAGACTCTGAAATCCGTGGGGAAAATTATCATAATGAAGTACTGAATGCTGAAAAAGCAGAACAAAATCTGGACCATATTTCTAAAGAGAGTTACAAAAATGCTCTGACACCTTGTCATGGTAAGTGTATGGGCTAGGAAAAAAAATGGTCTTTTTTTGAATTAGATAGTGCCTGAAATAGTGTTTACATGTCTTCTCTTAATACTGTTCTAATAATTACTTGATTAGATTGGATAAAACAACATTGGAAAAGGTAAGAATGAAAATCACTAAAATTATGCATATTCCATCTCATCTCTCAGTCTCAATATCTTTTTTTAATTGTGCTAACTAATATCCTTGTTACTTCCCAATATGTCCCAAGATTATAGTAGGACAGATGTAAATAGTCTATATTCTTGAGAAGCAATTTTGGCTGGAGCATGTATTCAATTTTCAAGGAATGTCATGGAATTCAGAAAGCTGGGGATTGAAAAGATCTGGTAGCTTGAGACTTTATACAAGGGAGATAAGAGGGAACTAACCATTCCCTTTATAAATGGAGAACGTAGCTGGACTTCTTAAAGAATTCATTTGTGTTTCTTTAGAAACACTGCAATTCAACAGGAATTCTCATATCTAACAAAAGTATGTTGAGTAGGTTTTTTCTATCATCTGTCCATGAGCAAACTTAGAAATGACAACCTCTTTTTTAAAATAAGATAAATTAAGAAAATAATCAAACATTGTAGTCTGGAAGATGGGTGTAGATTCTTCCATCAGAAGTGAAATTACTGTAAAGGAGCTAAAGGAATATATGACTAACACATCTATGCAAGAGTTTATATCTACTTTCAAATGTAGCTTTGCAGTTTTGTAGCATTAGGGGTCTATTTTGTAAACATACTTGTTCTCAGCAAGTTCCTGTTTACTTTATTGTGTCTGAAAAAATCCCAACATCTAGAAAGTATCCTAGCTCAGATTAATATTTGAATTCTGAACTATCAGGCAAATACTGACAATTGTGTGAGGTATCAGTCTTTGTAATTTGTAGTTGTATCTTCTCATCTTCAGTTCCTTCTTTGGAAAGTGGATCCCATAATTTTTTTACCTTTACTGAGAAATTAGTAAACCGTACCAGTATCAAAGACTGCTGACATAAAAAGCAAGCTAATTAGTTGATCTTCATCCATTTAAGTATAATTCAAAACCTAGTTAATTTTCCATCCTACATCCAAATCCCTATCTTGAATTGAAAGATTGCTATGTTCATTTTCTGCACATATGCCCAAAAAGCAGCCATAAAGCTGGAAAATTCAGTACTGGAGAACTCTTGTACAATTTGACTCTTCAGATTATACATGTATACCCTCCCCCTGCATTCCAGGCCATGAGCTGTGTGCAGTTTTACTTTTGTAAATGCAGTAACTTAGGGAGTCTTAAGCTGCCAGCTGCAAACTGCAGTGCTCATGGGGCTTCCTGAAACGTCCCATGACCCATGGCAGACCTCAAACAGCTCGAAATTTATTGAAAGGTGCTGTAGTGGCATTTTCTTTGGTTGTTTTTACCAGTTTGTGTTGAGTGTCTTTAGTAGGAGCAGTAACCAAAGTACCTGAATTAGGAAATACCTATGAAAAATAATTATTAATTGAAAGTTTACTTAATTATTCAGAAAATATTTAAAATGAGGCATATAAACTACTGTATTCACAGGGAGAAAGGCTTTCCAAGATCTGACAAATACTGGTATACAATCTCACGCTTTTGTACCTAAATCCCCCAAAACTTTAGAAGAAAACTCAGCAGCACCATCCAGACGAGGAAGACCCACTATTTGCTACAAAGAACCCAGTCTGCACAGGTAGGTGGGGGCAAGTAGATTGAGGCTTTTGTTTGCTTTTTGAGTGTGTAACTGTCCCCAGTAAAGATAGTTCAACTGTTTATTTGGGGATTTAATAGCCTATCACAGATCTCTTTTGCAAAGATACTTCAGTGTTGGTATAAAACTTCTCCTGTGTGGCAGGATTTCCAAGTTCCAAAGTAAGACAACAACAGTATTCAAATCTCAAAATATAGTCTGTAGTAATAATGAACGATAGTGAATCTTAATGTTTATCATTATATAAACTCCTTTAGATGTGGATAATTATAAATGTTATACTTAAAGGTAAACTTATACCATAATAATGTCCTTGTAATATTGTCAAGTGGAAAGAAAATTTATGCACTAATATTGTATAATTCAGTAGTTTTCCTCTAAGTAGCTGTATCTAATATAAGAAATCATTTAAGATATATAAATTTGATAATTTGTTATATTAGTTAGCTATATTAATTTTATACTTCATTTGCCTCTCATTGATCATAGCAAATTTAGTGGCACAGGATTTTTGAGATTGTTAAAAGGCAAGACATAATAACTATTAAAATTTAAAAGAGGATTTTGAAGCCAAACTTCCATTAAGAAAACTAATCTATTTGCACTTACATGAATAGATCTAAATCTAAATGGACTTTTAAGTTGATTACTTCTAAAAATATTCT